AAAAAAAAAAAAAGAAAGAAAAACGAACTCACGATTGTCAAATAAAAAACTTCACGTTTTAAAATGAGACTAAGTGGATCGTTATAATAATCTCTTTTTTACGAAGTCATGTCAATTCAAATTATTCAATTGACAATTTTTCATCAGCAGAAATATGGTTTTCTTTGAATTATTACAATTATTAAATTACGAAATTAGGGTTGGAAAGGTAGCTAAGTAAAAACATCGAAGGGAAAAGACGGTCTGAAAAAGTCGATTCACATAAATTCGCATCTTTCGTGCTCGGATACTTCTGAAATCTGGTAACCAGAGGTTCAGCACGATTAATCCTGTTCCCGTACGGGTTTGCAAGATGCAGGTTTTATCAAATATTCATGGGAACGTCCGATGGTTTCCATCGTTTATCATTATGCGTCTGCGTCGGCGTAAGATTGATTTTTCGGATGATTGCGTTTCACCGTGAGTGACACGCGATAAATCCAGGCTAGATTATCGATTTCCGTTTGATGAATACCTCATAAAGGCGAATAAAGCTGGCGTTGCCGGCGTAATGAACGTGTCCTCCTTGGCACTTAATTTTGCCGAAAAGTTTCGATTGTGTCTGCTCGCGCGATTTATCGCGATCCAGTTTATCGTATTTATCGTCCCTCTCTTCCTTTCCTTTTAAAAATCGTCAGAGGAAATTTCCTTTCATTATCTTTCCAATATTTAGAGCAAGGAGAATTTACTTGTCCGGCGTATATCTTTGATCCAAGGTTTTGTTACTAAGGCAACATACATGACAAAGGCAATAAGATAGCGGTATTATGTCAAAGGCTCTTATCTTTGCTACATGATAAAGACGTGGCATGACATCGAACGTCTTCCACCCCTTCTTCTCAGTCGAAGATGCTACGTGGAAATTATCAACCACGGAAATTACCAATAGCTTTGTCACAGAATTAGTTTGTCGTCGTCTATTTTTAATTGGACTTCGAGAGAGAAATTTACACAGTTTACTTCTTCCTTCTTTATTTTTTCTTTTTTTTTTTTGAAGATTAAAAACTGACGATGTAATATAGCTTTTGTGAGGTAGAGCAGAATATTTTTCTAAATATATTCTATAAATATATCTTTTATTATTTATATGATATTTTTTTATAAATACGAAGATATTCGTTTTCACATTCTTCCAAATATTGGAGGTACCCACAAGTAATACTATTTTCTTCAAATTTAATAAACACTACCATCTAATGATAATAATTTAGCTTATTATAACATAACTTATACTCTAATTAAATATACTGTGTGTGATATTTAGTGCGTTTGTTGTTAAATTAATATTATAGATTAAAACTGTATTAACTCTTGTATTAAGAAACGACATTACTTATAGGCAACATTTATCAATAATGTTTTTCTCAATCGATTGTCAAATAGTAAAACATTTTCAGATTCCTTCATCAAGAGATTTTTCGAGAAAACCAAGAAAACTTCATGAAGAATAACTGTTCTACTGGATGATAGAGTATAAAAAGATCCCATTTAGAAATAAGAAGGCTGGGGAATAAACTTTGTGACTAAATTGGTGATGATAATCACAATCAACCGAAGATCACAAAGGTTGCAATTGTAAAATGTGAAAGATGTAGATCGCGAAAAGAAGATTAATTGAATCTAAATGGAAGCTTATTACATTCAGGTTTTTCCTTCTTTTTCCTTCTTTTCTTATTGATCAGAGTATAGATTTATCTAGATGGAAGTGAGATTACCCGATGATTTTATCTTTCAGAGGCAACTCGATGATGAAAGTGGTAAGAATATACGTAGGGGATGATCTGACAGGCTAGTAAGATTTAATATCAGGTAGAAAAACGTGATATTCGGTGGATAATTTAAACCTCTGTAATCCTCATACAATATTTAGGAGTTACGTAATCATAAATTCAATTTTCTTTCTTTTTTTAAGTTTCTTTCCGTTCAAGTTCAAGTTTCTTCTTGTATTGTTATATTCCTTTCTAATTTCACAAGCGAGGTCGTGGAATGAAATAATTTTTGTTTCTCTACAAATTCAGCATCAATCATGAAACTGAAATATTGTTAACGAAAGGAGATTGTAGATTTTTAATAAATACAGTTAAAGAAATAGAATCTAAATAAAGATCCGCAGTATGTTCTAATAAATATTCCACTTTGGAAATTTATATATTTTTCCACGTCGAGTGAACATTTTTTGCATCTTTCAATTTTCGTATAAATTTGAGATAATACCTTTATCTTATATAAAGAGATAATTGAGACTAAAGTTACTAAAGTAAATTAGATATTATTTTATCCAGTGTTTCGAGTAATTTATGTTTCTGTGATAAATAACAGAACAAATTTATGTGCGCTAGAATGGCGGACAGACCCAAGAAAAAAAATATCCAAGACTGTAGCAAAACTTGCTGAAAGATATTTATGTGTCATGTGCAACATCCATCAGCTCTGAAAGAGTATTTTCCACAACTGGAAATGTTGTTGTTAGTTCAAAGCGGACGAGTCTACTGCCGGAGAATGTAGAGTTATTGGTATTTTTCTACAAAGATAGAGATATCTAATTTAAAATAGTTATTACTAGAAAATATAGATTTATTATTACTTTTGTACAAATTTAAAGACATCTAATTTAAAATAACTACTACTGGAAAACTTAGTAGATTTATTACTAATTTTTGTACAAAGATGAAGATTCATCTAATTTTGCTTTACATCGTAGATATCCGTGTAATAATAATTACAGTAGAAACATTAGACAGATTAGTAGACAATTAGAGTAAAGATAACAATAGTCTCAAGTATTTCATGTTTCCAAAATATCTCACGAAATATTCGCCGAATAATTTTTTTATTTGATTCGAGTATCTCACTAGCTAACCAGAACCTCGCAAGTAACAGCTCCATGAGAAAAGTCCAACTCTCAAGAAGTCAGATTCACAAGTTCACGAGTGATTAACACTGGACGTACCAAGCGGGGTCAATCAATAACCCTTTTTCAAAGTTTACTTTGAAATCGTACATTCGTTGTTATTCCTTTCGCTAATCTGACTTCTTGTAAATTCTTACATTATCTGATTATTCAATTTCTCGTTTTCTGATTTTCTCCTAGCTTATTTTTTTACCGAGAAAAATTCTTTGCATACCTTATACGTACCTTTAGTACGTTTAGTGTTAATAAGTTCTTCCCCCCCCCCCCCCGAATTGTTGTTTCCGCGTTTCACGCGAGTTGCAGCGCGACTACATTGACCGTAAGTGCAGCTTATGGATAGTTTCGCGTTCGTGGCCACGTGCCAACCGGATTACTATGCGCACGAACGCATCTATATTCATCCGATTAAGGATTTAGGCGGTCCGATATGTCGGCTCGCAGCGGCAGTAATTAGTCGTTGGTAATTAGCAACCGTGGGCCAAAGCGTGTTCGGCTGCTCCGAAGAATCGAGGACCAAAATAATCGACGTATCGCGCGCGCCTCTTGGGTTTTGTTCTTTCGTGAAATCGATCGTCGGTTCGAAAATTTTCCCAACTCGGCCCGGTTTTTAATTAAAAAATTTCCCATCGATTTTCTTTTAATTAACTGTGTGCTATTTTATAGGCGGGGGAAGGATGAGCTAACGAGGGACGCGCGCCGGCCACGTTGAAATTTTAATGGCGGATCAGTGCCATTCTTTCGTTACAATCGGGCCGCTTTCGTTCGGACGGAGGGAAAAATTAAATTGGATGAAAATGGCCGTTCTTGGCTCGAGTGTGACTCGCGATTTCGTATTAACATATGAATCGCGCTGCGATCAGTCGCCCGGCGTCACGCGGCTTTTATTCGTTTAATTGAACAATGAGTGCTGATTACGACGCGTGCTCCTTCGTGCGAATTGTCGAGCGAAAGAGGGAAAAAGAAAAACGGTTCGTTAGCCAGAGTAAATATCTCGGTTGCACACTGCGTTCCTTCTCTTCGATTCATTACGCGATCTTTAATTAAGTCTGTGCAGTCGGGATTTTGTTTGCCGGCGACGGATAGCAACCCCCGTGATTGATCGATCGTATCGTTTCGCTTCGCCATCGAGATCGTTAATTCACGACGCAAAACAGATGTTTAATCACAGATTCCCTTATAATCCGATGCTTTCCTATACTTCTATTTATACAGGGATTTTCATGCACTTATGCGAAAATATCAAAAGTCAGAGAACAAATCCGAGCAGCAGTTAGAGATCACAAGACGCATTTTCAACTCAAGTTTTCACATCGGTATCTGCAAGCAAACATGATGCCGCGCGTATACAAAATGTCAATTTATAACGTTCGTAAAAATCGCGTATCGCGTTTGTCGTTCAATTTCCATCGAGAGAGTCGAATAAAGAGAAAAGGAAGAAAAGAAGATTTACTCCCTCGTATGTATACCATTTACGTATATCACGGTACCAAGAGTACGACATAAACCTGTTGCCCATTAGGATTCGAAAAACCGGCAAGATCCCATTGAAAACAGCGATGTAACGATCTGAGGAATCTCCAGCTCTTTTTACGTGATACGTACGTGATATGCTCGTGTCGTTGAAAAGATGTGGAAGATAGTCGGCTTACCATCGTGGAAGTAATAAGAGACGTCCATGTATTCCTCGTCGGTTGGGCTGTTGGCGCTTCGTCTGAGAACGACCGTCATATCTCTGCCATTAGATGAGTACCTTTTCGGCTCGACGTACCTGCAAGAAAAAAAGAAAGAAAGAAAGAAATAGGAAAGAAAGGAAGAAGAGAAACGAAAACAAAGGAGTGAAACGAAAACAGAATCTGCTTTTTACGCGGTGGCTATTTTAACCCCAGCACGCAGGCAAT